CTCGCTCATGCTCAAAACTTAGACATCTTGAGCTTGGTGATTGCTCAATTGGTAATGAAGCTATCGAGGAGATAGCCAGCAACTATACTAATTTGAAATATCTTAGTTTGAAGGGGTGTAGAAGGATTAGTAATGAAGTGCTGAAAAATCTCAATCCAAAAATTAAAATCGAACATCCAGATTATTCCGATGATGAATTCTCCGATTCTGGTTTACCTCCACTTATTCTAATCTTTACCAGTAAACAAAATAGGATAGCTATAACCAGGTCCTTTAGAGACTACTATTTGAGTCATACATTAGATGAAACAGATCTTATTTCTGCAATTGTTAATTATCTCAGAGAGAATCCTCCAATGTGAGTTATAAATAATTACATTTATTACTGAAGAATGGGTAATTAATTATTAATTATTTTTTCATGGTAATATACATTATTAAATATACTTAATATGTTCGTAAATATACTCATAGAGGAAAAAATCCCAGTAAAAGCATTAATCGATACAATATTAAATCCAATACTATTAGCAAGCGCTTGTATAATAAGCTTGAAAAAGATTATGGGTTAGAAGGTATATCTGGTGATGATTTGATAAGCAAAGAAATAAAATGCTTAGATTTGCAATTTCGGTATAAAGGAAAATGGCGAAGCTTAGATAGTACTGAAGTAATAGATTTTCAAATTCGCAAAAATTCATCATTTGATTTGGTGCTAGGATGGGATTGGTTATGGATGCGCAAAGCAAAAATTAGCTTTGGATTTTCTCTGGAAAATTGTAAGCGCTATGCTAAAATGATATGAGTATCCCATTAATCAAAGAAGATAGCAGACCTACAGGCGATTCTTCGAGCCATAAAGCCAGCTCCACTAAAAATAACTTATCTATTGCAGAGCAGGCCATATTGTGGAACAATGGCACTTACGTGTCTAGGCGATTCTCCGAATCATGGGACTTTGTCCCTAAATCAACAGAATCTAAATCTGGTCTAGCTCAAGAGAAGGTTATTCCACCTGAATTAATACAGTATATTCTAAAGTATCTTCCCAAATAGGATCTAGCGATCCTCTCATACTAATTAATTTGTGAATGAATAGATCGCCAAATCCGAAATGAGATTTCATAAAATCTGCAAATTAGGTTTGTTAGTCGTAAAGAATAAACTATAAAAATAAGC